AGTTTTTTTTTTTAATAATTTGACATTATTTATAGGTACATATGAGGAGGAAAAAATGAGTTACATGTGAAGTTAAGAAGTAACCTTTTTTTTATTATCAAATTTTTACTTTTTATTCAATTTAAAATTTAAAATTTAATTTTTAAATTTAAAGTTTTAAATTATTAGTTTATTTTTTGAATAATTTAGTATTATTTATAGGTACATATGAGGAGGAAAAAATGAGTTTCATGTGATTCGAATAGGTCATCAATGAAAGTAAACAATTTTAAGTCAGGTTCATTACCACAGGTAAAAACAGTCATTCGTTTTAAATTATTAGTTATTGACTCATTTTATAGAAGTTTTTACAAAATAATAATAAATAAGATAAAAAAATTTAAATTTAAATTTAAAATTAATAATGTAATTTAAGTTATTTTATTTAAATTTGAAATATTATATAAATTAATTAATTTAATGACATGAACAAATACTATATTATTAATTTTAAATTTTTATTCTCTTTATTATTACCTATGTTACAAATTTTTTAATAAAAACTTGAATATTAATATGAATTAAGGTGTTTAATATATATTACCAACTGTTAATAGTGCTAAACTTTTGTTTATTTGGTGTTTTCTTCTTGCAAACCAGAAAAAATCTTTCCTTTTTCTCTTCTTTCTCAGTTTTGCTAAAAAAAATTTTTGATTTTTTTTCTCAATTTCATGTTTACATTTGTTATCTTCTTCCTTAATTGTTTCAGGAAGATATTTCTTGAAAACTTAGGGCATGATTATAACAACAGGATTGAAATGTAAATATTATATAATATTTTAAATATTATATTTTAAAATATTAATTTTATTTAATTTAACAATTAAAATTAACTTATAACAGTTCTTGGGTCTTTGAGTTCAGTGACATCAAATCACCTTTAAAGGCATTCTTCTTTTTGGGCAACGATTCGAATTTAACCCTTTGAAAAATTGTTCAAAAAAAAAACTTATAACAATTGCTTAGTTAATGATAAAATAATTAATATTTATTATAATTAATTATTTATGTATAAAATATCAATATTTACATAATTTTAATAATTTGATGTGTGACTATAATTACATCTAAATATATTAACAAAAATTTTAAATTCTTCATAAATAGATGGAAACAATTCCAACCATCCATTCTCACTATTACTGGAAGAGGATAGGCTTAATTTGGCAGTGGTGCTTATAATACTTTTTGTAGAATATTTTTGTAATTTATATGTTCGGTAAACTATTCATTTTTATTTTTTTTGAAAGATATACAAAACTTATTTTATTTAAAACTAATAAAAATTTTAAATTATGTTTTGTACATTATATATTAAATTATTAATTAATTTAATTTCAAACAATAATATATCTAATTAAGTAATTTTACACTAAATAATTATTTTAAAATATAATTATCAAATACTAAAATATTTTTCATAACAATATAATTCAGTATTAATAACTACAATTATAACTACTGGTAGCATAGGATGGTATCGTCAACCTAAGCTTTAGTTTTGTAAATGGAATGATTTACAAATGCTCATAATTTATTTTCGTAAGTCCAAATATCCATATAGTTAGTCAAAATATAAATTCATATTATATTATCAAAAGATTTTAGATTCAAATCATTAGATAGTCCAATGTAGAAAAGGGTTTAGAAGACTAAAGACATATTTATGTTATGCAGCAAATTCAGATACGTGTGCCAAAAAACAAATTCTTCCCCAATTACCAAATATTTAGGCAAACACACTGATACAAGTTGAACAAGACTTGCAATGAAAAGAAGAAGAAGAAGAAGAAGGTGAACAGGACTTTATTTTATACAAAACCAAGATACAATACAACACACAGATTTACCATAAACATAATAACCATTCAACAGCAGTCAATCAGAAGTGAGATCAACAGACAGGACACTTTTGTTTTCTATCTCTTGGGAAGTAGAGTTGAGTGGGTGCTGTGCTGAGGAAAGCATGTGCTTTTTCTCAGCTTCTTTTAAGAGCAATAGCAGACATTATGACCAGTTTCATGAGTATCATTCCTGCTATGAAGGAACCCACCACAGCCCCACTAACACTCTGGCAAAAGTTGTCAAACTGCTGACAAATGGCTTGCCAGTTTGCGTTTGGATTTCCATTCTGAGCTAGATACACTATGGAACCAGCAGCTCCAGCAGCAACTAATGTGAGGGCCATCATAATCTGCACACAGTTCATTTTGCCATTACATTATGTACCCAGCTATATATTGAACATGTAAGAAATTAGATGTTTGCCTCATACAATCAAACCTTGAAATTTGATGGGAAGAAATCTGGGGAAAGAGGGTTATCTTATTACATCATTAGGTGTACCACAAAGAAGAAATTAACTGCTTGGAGTACATATATTTTACCGTATCAAAGATGAGGAGGAGAAGCCTTGGTGCTGTTGCATATGGACGAACGATGCAGACAATTGAGAAGGGCAGGGAGAGGACCAGATACACACTGACTATTGCATTTGCTATCATGAAAAACCTGCATGTGGATTAAGAACTGAGCAAATACTAGCTTTGTGTTTATGTTATTTAAAAAGTGCACTTGAGTAATTAAGACTTAAGCAGATGGAAAAGTACACGAAAGCTTCAATATCACTGTATTGAGCTTCAAACTGGAAGAATTGTGTGAAGAAAGGGAGAGTCTCATCTGTAGTGCCCATGACTGCAGTGGCACCTAAGGCTGCTGCAACTGCACCTAGCCTCAAGATGAAGTCAAAAATGGCTATGCCTTTTCTCCATCGCCCTTTAGAATGTTGACTAGCCTTTGAAGTTGCAATGGCAACTACAGGGGCGTTTCCTTTTGAATCACTCCTCCCCTCTTGAATTCTGATAGTTGTTTCTCCACCACTCTTGTCTGACTCCATTAGAATATGTTGCAGAATATATCCAGACTTTTTCTTGAAGAAAGATGTAATGTTTGATTTGAATGTGGTAATGCAATGAGATGTGTATGTTATATATAGGAATCAAACCAAAGAAACTTTGTTAATGGAGTAGATTTTCTTTTGCTATTTTGGTATAATGGGAAGTTAGGTATTCAGGAGTGGTTGAAAACTTGCTCCACTTCAAACTACGTCCATGCAGAAATGTAGATTTAAGAAGGAAGGTTTTCTGAACAAGCAACCAAATTTTCAAGTTTTCAATAGTATCCCATTCAGATAAGGATTGGAACTGGAATTATTCAAGAGGTTCAGAATTCAACAAAAGATGTGGTAAAATTTCATTTCATCATATCATTTTCTGGGGTGCAACCAATATACAATCAGTAGCACCGTTTAATTTACAAAAAGGATGAATATTATCGTGAAACAATATATCAAACTCAGCCTAAAAGGGTTTAGTATTTGATCAAAAAATACCAGCCTAAAAGGGGCTTTCAGTAATGCTGCAAAACAATATACATGCACCTCTTTGTATTCCACAAGCCGCCTACAAAAGAGCCAAGGCTTTAATTATTTGATGAATACCATATCTGAAAACCTCTAGAGAGAATATTAGTTGAAAAGTCATTCATGCTTGAAGCTGGTGCTCCTGTATGTTGAATGAAGAGCGCAAATTTTGAAGGCTTCAACTTTCAAATGAGACAAAAATTAGCACTGCTTACAACAATGAATAATTAACAGCTTCACTATGCCCGCAAACTCCATCCGCGTTCAGAAAGTGCTTCATGCACCCGCCTAGCTGCTTCAGCAGTGTCATTGAGAGGAGGATAGCTCCAACTTACTGAAATCTGGAAATCAGGAATGACACAATTAATCCAACAAAGCCTCACTGTAAATATCCATCCATTTCTGTAACAATGGTGGATGGGATTGGGAAGAAGGTAAAGCAGGTAATGAGCTTCATCATGCCAGTTAACACCTTTAAACAGCCAGTGAATTCTAAAGCCTGTGCCTTCTGTGTGTGTGCATTTTTTTTTTTTTTTCGGAGGTTGCATGAAGACAGAAGCCAAAAAATAAAAAAATAAAAAATAAAAAACTGCACATCAAAAAGAGAATGCTGCAGGCTTTTCTTACATCTTCAGAACCAGTAAATGGCCGAACAACTCCTCGCTCCCTCAAAGATTTGTGGAAGTCCATCAATTTCCATTTACAACGCTCAGCTCCTGTAACATAAACAGGTTTTCTGCATGCAAATAACAATAAATTACAATAAAATAATTATATCAGAAAGTATATTAAAAAATATTTCTTCCGCATGTTCTCAGACATCCTTTCTGGATGAAAAAGTTCTTTTCAAGCATACCCAGTGCTGCAAACCTCACTTATCAAACTGACTGAATCTGCCGTGACAACAAAAGCATCAGCCCAAGCTAAATGTGCCATGTGTGGATTTGGTCCTGAAGATCATAACAGTAAACATATGTTAAAGTCGTTCCAAGTTCTACCAGTTAATTATATCTACTGGAGATACCTTCACCATCCCAGATGTAAACTTTGGGATTATTTCCAAGCTCTTTGACAATGAATTTTGATATCTGTTCGCAGAAGTACAGATAAAAAGTAATGAATACTAATCATGTCACAAACAATACAGAGAACAAATGATGAGGAAATTGGAGTTTTTACTTAAACCTTTTCAGGTGTCCTGCTCGAGAAAGATATTCTGACACTCCCACAGCTTGTGAGCACACTGAGAAGAGAACACATTAACATCTTTCCAAGATCCACTCCATAGCGGCAGTGACCTGCAAACAATTTCAGACAGAAGAAAATAATTCTAAGATCTTACACACACTTAAGGTTAAATTAAATCAGCAATTTCAAAATTTTGAGATAATCGAGAATGAGACTATGAAAAGGGGTTCTCTATATCCATATCATCCTAAGTGACTGGAAAAAATGTCGCAACTTGCAACCTATTGTTCATGGAAGCCAAGCAAGTCAAACAGTATCTTCCTATCCACATCTAAGCATTAGACATAACTAAAATATTACGGTACAGTTAGATCTGAAACTGGCTAAGAAGCAAAGGATGCATAAGTTACAATTTATAAGCATAACAATATCTGCAAGCAGACATTAATAAACCAGAGCAAATTCCTCTGGGTTATGTAAAGATTATAGGATTATAAAGCATTATTGAATTACTTGTAGGCCAGCCAATGTTGACCACAAGTAAGGGCTTTGGTAGAGGTGCAAACTCATCATGCCAAGCAATCGCTGCACTTCGGAGTGCAGAAGCATCAATTTGATGCAGGGAACCCAAAGTAAGGACCTAAAGTTCAAAGCAAACCATCAACCTTCAGTCACAGAGAGAAAAAGACATTTAATCAATCCAGAGTTTCTCAAATCTACCCAATGGAAAGGTAGCAATGTACATTCATAAAACATACCACATTCCGACCAGGAGGCTCACGAGGAGTAATCCACCTATGAAGAAACCGAGGAATCTGCTCCTGAGCTTCAGCAGACAAAGGATAAAAGTCATGCTGAGGGGTGATCACCAAATCAAACCTATTCAACTGTGACCTTGGATGTTGGATCTGCAACACAAAAGAGGAAAAAACAAGGACATCTTTGTCGTGGTCAAGTTGCAATTTTACCCAAAGGCTCTAAAAAATCACTAACAAAGATAAGAAGCATCTTTTACAACAAGAAAATAAGTAGAAGACCTTCTTAAGAAACATGTGGTTCTGTTTTCGATAATGATGTGTATATAATAACTATTTAAACAACAGTCAAGGTGACTTAAAACAAACAAGATGAAGTCTTGAAAGGGGCACCAAAAGACAGTATTATCTCTCTATAAGGAGCAGAGTTACAACCTGAACAACAAAAACATTCTCAGAGGCAAGACATTTTATAGAGCTTGCAATAGAAACAGTATCTCTGCCAGATGCAACAACCAACAAAGGACCTTCCCTGAAAAATTTACAAACCATTTAATTAAGTAGCTCTAAGAAAAGGTGTGAGAGTTAAAGACTTCTCCAATTCAAACATATATTAAAATTATCAAGAAAATGGAAGAATGGCAATGGATAATAGTTATAGTGTCAATTCAGATAATAGAGCTCCATAAAAAATAGAAAATTTTACAAGAACAAAAGGCTTTAGGTCATTATTATGCCATTTAACAACAACACAACAACAGGTGCATTGAGACCAACAACTTTGCTGGAATGACTCATGACCTTATTGCATAATGTCCTGACTCCAAATGCAAAAGATATTGTCAGGATTTCTCCCTTCTATGGGCTTAAACCACTATTTCAAGCAGCCTAAACGTTAGAAAGAGATGTGTCATTGAATGTAATAATGTATACCTCTATACAAACAGAACTTGTAAGGAAAATTTCAAATCAAGACTAAAATTTGGTGATGATTTCCAATTTTCACAATCGTATTTATACAGGAAGAAACCATAAATCACTTCTATGTGGCAGAATAAAACAGTTAAAATAATTAGCCGCTCATTTAACTATCCCAAAGAAACAGTTTTTTTTTTTTTCCACCATACTATAGAACCACAGCGGAAAAATCAGCTATGTAAAACGGTAATTAGACAAACTCATGCAACATTTATACAGAAAAGAATTATAAAAATGCAAGAGCAAGAAATAAAGAAACAACTAGAATAGAAACTATTTGAACAAGGTAAAACAAATAATTTTTAGCAGAGAAATTGTGAAAGTAAAAGAGTACTTTTCATAAGTTTCACGGGCTAGTGTCACAATCTGCTTCAAATCAGCTTCTAAAATAGATGCCAAGCCGGCACTGCTGCCATTTTCTGAAGGTACAGGCAAAAGTTTCTTTCCTCGTGATGTTAACAATATTCTCGAGTACTTTTGAACCAGGCACATGAGATAATCTAACTTTTTGTGAAGAGAAACTGGGAGCCAGTGGAGCCACTCATTTATTCCTCCTCTTGGCCTTGTAACTCGCTGCATATGATCAGGACATCAAACATTACCGACACTTGATGTCTATATATGAAAAAAATAGGTAGGTTCCTTTTTGGTCGTTACAAAACAAAATATTGGAAAAATGAAAATAGCAAAGATATAAATAACGGTTCTGACAAGTCAAAAGCATTTTCCCCAAGAAATATATAGAATAAAAAAAGGTTACAATATGAAGAAATTTATGATAAATCCCCAAGAAACACCAGGTTATGATGCAATCACCTGAAAAAATATCTAGACCTAGGCACTTCTAAGTTTTCCAAAAGTGATATCCCAACTCTTGCTTTTCATATCTCCCCAAAAAACTGATCTGCTGCATCATACTTTCTTTTAAAAAAGATCCTCTCAGACCATAAGGGCACTTTAATCTCTTCATCAGAAATTTTGGCTATATTCTATAAGGTAAATTTTCAGTTATATTATTCTGCTATGAGGAACAGGTGTAAGCCATATTCTATAAGGCAAACTCTCAGGGCGATATATGTATACATGAAATAATGAGCAGCACAAACAGGTTCCATCTGAGATGAATACACTGAACAAAGGGCGTTATTCTTATGCTTAGATGGAGCATGAGGTTTTAACTAGACAAAATTCAAACAAAGAAAAGTCCCAAGTTAGTTACTTTGCAAAGAGTTATTCAACCCAGAATCAACCAAACCCCATGACACTCCATCAGCTTCCAGTGGTGATAAATAGGAATGGAAAAAAGTGTAATCAATTGAAAAGCTTCTAGCAACTACAACTGCAAATAAGTAATGAAGTGAATTCCTTGGGTTGAATTGGACTCACATATAGAACATGCTTGTCGTACAGCCCAAGAGCACGCACCAATCCGATGCTCTGGTTCTCGGAGCTCGGAGAACTGTTTCCGATGACGATGGCGCGTCTTATGACGCTATAGGCTCCATCTTGGAAGATCTCCGGCACGCCTCTGGTGGGACTGGGCGGCTCGGGAAGCTGTATCGGCCTCATGAATTTCGGATTCAAAACCCTACTGCCAAAATAGCCAAAGGATGGATGCAGAGAGGGGGAAAAGAAACTTCCTTTGCAGTGGCAGCAGGCTTGGGGTCAGGCAGGAGTGCAGGACTCAGCAGAGTAAAATGAGAGTTTTTCTTTTCCTTCTTGTATACGAATTTAGTCGGCAAAATACCCAAATCCACCCTCTAAAGTATAAGGGGGAGAGATGGATTTACCCTAACAAGAAACAGAGACAAATTCTCTCATAAAATTTTTTAACCAATCACCCAAATTTAAAGAACGATGTTATTTGATGTTAATAATTTATTAATAATAAATTTATTA